ACTTGAAACTTCACAGCAAAATGCTGTGAAGGTAACCTTCACAGTGTTTTTGCTGTAAATGTTCAACTTTTTTAAACCTTCACAGAGTTTTTGCTGTGAAGTTTCAAGTGTAAAAATGTGGTCTCACGGGTCTCACGAAAATAGTCTGGTCTTACGTGAACCCAACCCTATATATATATATATATATATATATATACACACACACACACACACACATATACACACACACTTGTGATCATGTTTGACCAATGGTTTTTTGTGAGACTCGTAAGACCAATTTTCAACCCTTTGATTAAATCTACAATCTAAATATTCATAATTACAAAATTGCCACGAGACTTCTCAATAATTATAAAATTGTCACCATGCAACTTTGGACCATTAGATAATTAGTTAATGATCTAATGGTCCAAATTTGCACAGTGACCATTTTGTGATTATTGAGAAGTCTCGTGACAATTTTGTGATTATAAATGTTCAGATTGTAGATATAATCCAAAGATTGATAATTGGTCTTATGGGTTTCACGAAAAACCATTAGTATCACATGATCTCAAATCTCTCTCTCTCTCTCTCTCTCTCTCTCTATATATATATATATATATATATGATTGAGTTTATGTGACAATGAAAGTCATATAAAAAGAGCAAGGAGAGATCTTATCTCTAGATAAAAAGCATAAGAATGGTAAGAAAAAATCTTTTATCTTTGGATAAATCTTAACTAAAGGTTGATATTAATACAATGTATCGAGATGCACTAGATCAATTTTCATAAAAGCACAATTCATAGGGCAGGTAAGATTAAAAGAGATAAAAATTCAGATCTCGTCTTACATTTTTTACTTTAACTCATATTCTTATAAGATTCTTTGTCTAATTTTAAAAACATAGGATTTTTCTTAAAATCAAAAGCATATGGCAAATATCTCTTATGTAATTGTTAGCTTTATTTGTATGATTTTACTTTGTTTAAATAGAATTGTTTAGTTAGATTATAAATTGATATATCAATCTTTAACCCGTCCAACTCATACAGTTTGAGTTATATTTTTGTCTAGCTTGAATTGAGTTGAATTTTTTTAAATTATTAATACTGAAATTAATTGTTCAAATGTTTTTTAATCCGACTATTCTATAACCCTACATCTACATCATGTAAATTTGAAAATAATTGATGTGGTATATTCATATCATACTATATGAACAGTAAGAATTAGCAGTCTTTTAGTTTTCCTATATTTAAATAAAAGCAAGCATGTTCAATAATTAATATTCTAATTTCACTTTTTCTTGTAGTGATAAAAACATTTGCATTATGATTTACTAAATTTTATATTGTAATGTAAGGTGACATTCAAAAAAATTTTGATTATTATAAGATAAAATAAATAAATAAAAAATATCAGAATTTTAACATCGATATCCAACATATTTCATATAACAAAAAAAAATGTCAAAACTAAAGAATCAAATATTAATCATTATTAGGGATAAAAAAAATTGTGAGACTATGTATATTCAAGAGATATACCTATAATTTTTTTAAGCGGATACATCATTTGATTATAAGAATAAATATATAAATATTTTCATGAAATAATCATTGGTTGGGTTGGGATTGGAACTCGGGTCTGAGTTGGAAGAAATGTCTTGCAAACCAACTCTACCGAGGGAAACTTATGTTCTAATTATAGTTTCAAAATATATACGATGATATGCAACAAATTGATACAATGACACCTTTAATGACCCTATAATTTTTTTACATTACGACAAATTAATGAAGCAGTAGCCTGTGGCATCATATGCACCACTTGGGTCCGTCCCTGGTGGAACCCCAAATTACTTATACAAGAAAAATGATATTTGATTTCAAATCCATTCAAAACCCAAATTCCTTCATGAAATCCGAATCCCTCAAAAACGACCTTGCAAACCAAATGAATCATTGGTTTACCATGTGAGAATATGTGAAACCATCATACCACTATGTAAAAGTTTCCAACAAGATTAATTATTATTTCTTATTTTAAAGAATTAAGATAAGGGATTTTGGTCATAGAAATTAAAACTTATTTTGTGGGCGGGTAAAAGTCAAATCCAATTCAACAGCTTTGTGGGCGCACAAAGAAACCAACCATCTTCTTCTTCATGAATCACTTTTCTGCTATTTAACACCCTCTGCAAATTCATTCTTCAATAAAATCCTTTCAATCTCCAATTCTCAATCCCACGTCGCCATGAACACTCGAACAAGGTATGCATATATGATTTCACTTTCACTTTATTCTCACATACAGATCTATCAATCATTCTGATTCGGAGTACGGCCTCTAATCCTCTGTGTTCCTCTCCTCTTGCTTCGATGCTTATAGTTCAGGATCAGAGATTCTCAACACTCGCATCGAGATTAAGCATTCGTGGATTCATATCATCTGTCTTCTTCTTCTTCTTCTGATTTCATACTCTAGATCAGAATCACAGATCATCACCATTGATGTTCACAAAGCAAACGATCTTCTCCGTAATGGCGACTACCGTTACCTTGACGTTAGGTCATTCTGTGTGCTTATTTAATCGTTTATTTTATTCAAACTAGATTTTATTTATGACAATTTCATGATTTTGTATATAGAATATTCAGCAATTGTTTTTTGACTGATAGGACTGTGGAAGAATTCGAGAAAGGGCATACCGATTTTGATGACGCTCTTAATATTCCTTATATGTTGGATACCTCTAAAGGTAATTTTATCTTTTATTTTCCTTCAAGAGTATGATGATTTGGTATAAATCAAAATAACTTGTGATTTTAATATTGACATGGATAGTGATATGAATTTTTTAAATTTAAAATTAGTTTTTTTAATCTAAAATTAGTTTTCAATCGGTTACTTGGGTATTTGAATGTTTAAAACTTTACATAGGTACCAAAATAGAAGTCTTGAAAGTACAAGACACAAAATAAGAATCAAACTAAAATACGTTACTTTATCATATAATTTCCTCTTTCTAAATAAACACTTTATACATGTTTGTTGAAACTGACATAAGAATGCGTACAATCACACATGGTGCAAAGTTCGTATGATGTATGTGTTTATCGTGTAACTGTAACCATAAGATCATTTTTAATGGGTCACTAATTAAATCTTACATTAAACACTAAATTTTGTATAAATGATATTATTCACATCTCCAATGGGGTCTCTATTTTCCACACTAAATTTAATGCAATGAATAATATTTACATTACTTTTACATCACTTTTTCAATTACAATTTTGGTTCTTTGTTCCTCAATTTAGAGATTTATTATTTTTGTTTTTTGAAGTTTTATTTGCTATATATACTAAATTATTTTTATATCAATTTCTTATATATATTTTAATTAAGTAAATGACATACAACATGATAAAATATTGGATAAAAATAAGCTAATATCAAAAGATGAAAACATATACATAATACCACCAAAATGAAAGTAACACACTTCAAGCTATGGAATACGTTAATTGATCATTTATGGAAAAAATATAGTAACAATAATAATTAAATATATATGTATTCTCTTTTCGTATTTGTTTTAATGTAACTTTTTCTATTTAATAAAAAGTTTTGTTTTATGTATTACAATAATTTAATTCATAACTAATAAAAATATATTAAGTTGTTGATCTAAATAAACAAATATGGGTATAAATTGTAAAGTTAATAAATATAAGGATATTATTATAAGTTTAATAAATTAATGTAAAATTTTTCAATCCCATTATATTGTTTGGTACGCATCTCTAGTATGATGCAAACATGTGTGGTTTCAGGTAGGGTGAAGAATACCAACTTCATGGAACAAGTACTCCTATTATGTAGCAAGGATGATCATCTTGTTGTGGTAATCATTTTAATTTATTTTATATTTTAATAAATAATTATAAGTTATTGATGAAATTAATTCCTGTCACTATTATTTTCTATTTTATGGTGTTGGAAAGCACTTAACATACAACTACTTCTCAAACTTTATATTAAATTATATGTTTCAAAATACTTTTAAACAGATACCTAACATGTAATAGTTCGTCCCAGATAAATAAAAAATGAGATTTATAAGTTTCTTATAAGCTTTAAATTGTGGGTTATCAATAATTTCCACCATGGTTTTAAGTTGGATTCGAAATTACTGGGGCGGTCTTTTGCTTTGGGCTCTGGAGTTTTACAAATGGTACCAGAGTTGATCTTTGTACTAACGGGATAGTGGGGGCAAGCCTTGGGGGGGTGGGGTGTTTGTTACATCTTACGTGAAAATCCCATGTCGCCGATTACAAAAAGGAAGATTATGGGCTATTTGTAACAACTTCCACCATGGTTTAAGTTGGATTCAAAGTTATTTGACGATGTTGTTGCTTATTAAATAGATGGCTAGCTAGGATGATCTATTCACAACAGGTCAACGGTTGAGATTATTTTGAGAGAACTTTTGCAATAGAGCAAACAAGAGAAATTTGAGGCATGTTGTACCAAATGAGTTCACCACCTATTTATATCGGCTTTTGATTGAATAGACGGCTGGCTAGGATCTATTTACAACATGTCAACGGTTGAGATCTAATCTCTAGAGTTATAAGTAAATATTATGTACAATAATATTTTACATGTACTCTTCCATGGAAAGACTTCTCTAGATCTTCTATAATAACCGTGAGTCTTCATGGTTATCGTAAAAGGCATCAAACATTTGACTTTATATAGAATCGAAATAGGTATTTGATTATTTGTTAAAAATTCAAAGTTATACTACAAATAGAAAAATATGGTCGACCTGATTAATCTATTTGTAGCTATAACAATAAACAAGAAAAACATATTATATTTTTCGTTATATAAAACTATATATAAGTAGTAAAAGAAAATACCAAAACTACCCCTCATTTGAGAAAACGAATAAGATTTGTTATTTTCATAACTTATTGTTGATATGGATTGTTTTTCATCACATGAATTTCGAGTTTAAAAATGTTACGGTTTTGTTCTAATTATTAAAGTTTTTATATATGAAGGGTTGTCAATCTGGGATTCGTTCTGCGTATGCAACAACCATTCTTCTCGATGCAGTATGTTCATTCTTTTTTTCTATCTTTAAACCTAGATTTCATTTTGACCATTACTATATCAAAAATAATTCAAACTTTTTTAAAACAATATAAAAATTAAAAGTAATATTTTGTGAATTTATTTACAGGGATTGAAGCATGTATACAACATGGGAGGAGGGTATCTTGCATGGGTAGAAAAAGGGCTACCTGTGGCTAATAAGACACCCAAAGTGGAGCTCTAATCCCTTCATTTGGATCTTTATTGATTGGCTTATGTACACTTGTATGTTTGTATTCAATTTTAACATCTCCACATTAGGGAACATTATTTATCAGTTTCAAATTATCTGATTCATCAAGGACTTTGAACCCTTGATCGTTTTTAATTAGTGTTGATCTTATGGTTCAGATTAAGTCCTAAAATAACCCATGAATTAGCCTAGAAGGGTATTTAAAATTGTTCTTCAATTAGAATTGATTGATCACTTCTTACTCTTCACATGATAACTATTATTTTTACTGGAAACCAACTCATACACCCATTATATACAGATGCAAATCAAGCGACTTGAACTCCTCCCCCTGTCAGAGAAATTCCTCCTTCCCCAAATTGCAAGCTCCATTTTCGACCATTCTCTACGCTCGAGAAATAGATCCTTCCTTACCCCCTTCTCCCAAACGTATCTTTCTCATTCGTCTTCATAAGATCCTCATGAATCTAGAAGTAGACCCCTCATTTTCATCTTCTCCGAGAAAACCTAAATCGTTTATCTTCTTTAAACAACTGGCCTTCGTAACTGATCAGCCCAAGTGATTATTGGACCAGTTACATCAGTTACAAATCTTCGTATTTCTAGGCCATAACCAGTTATATATGAGATCGAGAACCGGCTTAATCGGCTAAGTATGACTGACTAATAATTAGGAATTACCTGATTTGCACATATAAATTGATCCCCACCATAAATTTTCAAAAACTTCATTTTTTATATCATAAATTTTACTTTATATAAATATATTTCTCTTTATATTGCCAAAAATTTAAAAATTCAAATTCTTCCTTTACTTATCAAAATTTATGAATATGCTAACATGACTATGCTTGAAAGTGATATACATTATACATAAATATTGAACTACACTGGTGGTCCCTGTTAGTTAGAAACCATCATAAGAGACAAATCAATCTTTTGACAAACGACGTGGACCAAAAGCATAATTCACTATAAAATTAATTGTAACTCACATTTTCTTAAATTCTTTAAAATATTTTAATACAGTTAACATAAGACAGTTATATAATTAAAATTTGGTCATTAGAAAAGATTTAAAAAAAATTTGCTATGAAAAATGATTATGTTTTAAAATTTAAAATACTACGAGACGCTATTAAATTGAATTATCAAATAATTGTGAATAAAATACAACAATTAAATTGATATAATTAATAACCAAAATATTCTTTTTTTTAAACCGTTCTTAAAATATTTTCAAAAACTAAAAAATAATAATATGTGAAGCACAATTAATTCTAGAGTGAATTACATATTTGGTCCCTCTAGTTTGTCTAAAGATTAATTTGTCCTTCTTAAAAATTATTAAGTGACAGTGTTAACAATAAAGACTTTAAATATTATGAAATTAAAAAGTTAAGGACTATTAATATATATAATTTATTTTAAGGATCAAAACTGAAATTTAAACCGACCACATAGGCCCCAATGTAATTCACTAGTGAATAGTTTGTGAGAAAAGTTAAAATGAAGACACAAATGTGTGGACCCATGAGTTAACCAATCACACTCTTTTATCTTCTTTCATCATGCACCATTTTTTGTACCTAAACTCTTATCTCTCCACAACCAACACCCCACAAATTCCCTCAACCTTCTTCTTCATCTTCTTCTTCTCCATCATGAACATCCAATCAAGGTAGGATAAACATCTTTCAATATATATATATACACAAAAACATATATATATATATATATATACACACATCATTTATTATTTTAATCATCTGTCTTCTAATTCGATATATATCTTGTAGCTCGGAGTCACAGATCATCACTATCGATGTTGTAAAAGCTAACGACCTTCTTCGTAATGGTGGCTACCGTTACCTTGACGTCAGGTGCTTACGATTTCTAATTTAATTTTTAATCAAAATTAATAGGTCCTTCATTAATTTGATGAATCATAAACACACACACACACACATACATATATATATATATATATATATATATATATGGGTTTATGGTTATTTTGTGATATATACATACATATTATGTGTATATATATAGGACTGAGGAAGAATTCAAGAAAGGGCATGTGGATTTTGATGATGCTCTCAACATTCCTTACATGTTTAATACATCTCAAGGTAATCAATTAATTAATTAATTAACTTTACTTATATAAATATGTCATAATTATATTAACATTTAATTTATTATTTAATTTAATTATATGTGGTTTTAGGTAGGGTGAAGAATCCCAACTTCATGGAACAAGTGTTACCTGTATGCACCAAGGATGATCATCTAATCGTCGTACGTCATCTAAATTAATAGTTTACTTTAAATAAATAAAATATTATTAATTTCCAATTCTTTTTATTAACCTGGATATCCAATCCGCAATGCAAGCCGACTAATCTCAAGGCGCTCACCTGTTTTGCGGGTCAATTTCCTTTTTCTGACAACCCACTAAAAATATGTGATTTTGATGCATGGTTTAAAGGAGGGTTGTAAATAGTATGAGTCGAGTTTGAGTATCGATATATTTGACTTGAACTTGATAGTAATATTTCAAGTTTGAACTCGATTCGAAAGCTCATAAGTAGTTAAAAACTAAACTCGATCCGAAAAAAATTCATGAATGGTTAAAAACTAAACTTTATTCGAACTCGATTGCAATTTTTTAACTCGAACTCAAATAAAGCTTGAATTATTCTCACCTATTGAAATTTATGAAGTTTTAGAGTTTTCTTGTAAAAATTATAAAAAGGTTCTCTTTAAATTATATATATATATATATATATATATATATATATATATATAAAGAAAATTGAATATCTCGCGAGCTTTTCGAGTCGGATATTGGGTCGCTCGACTCGACTCATTAATATGTCGAGCTCGAGTTCGAGTCGAGCATTAACCGAATCGATCTTGAGTAGCCCGCGAGCTGTCTCGTACCATTTACACCCCTACGTTTAAGGATATTATTTACTGAAAATCAAAACTAACCTTTTATTGACAAATAAATAAATATTGTTAATTAAAATCATCATTAATTCATTTGTAATGGTTGGGTCAATTTAACGGTTAGAAAAACTCCCTCTAGATATTATATTAAAAACGAACTTGATCAGGGTTCGATGATCTTAACTGGATCTTTACTAGGTCTGTTTTTTTTTTTAAATTACAATGTATTTTGTATATAAGCAAGTCCAGAGGTCCAGATATCCCAAATATTAGGTTTCGACCTACCCTTAGCAGTCTGGTTCTAATCAGTTCTTTTTCAAACCAATTCATAATTGTTGATTGGTAGAACATAACACCATCCAGTCCCTTCGGACAATCTATGAATTTTCCTTTATCTAGTCGCATCTTGCTCAAAGGATTGACGTCAAACTAGTTTTCAAAGTGGTTGAAGATAAAACTAGACACCTCATAAGAGGTCTTCGCACTCCACCTAAAATGCATCATAGTTTTTTTTTTACAAACTATGTGACATAACAAATCAAGAATATATATATATATATATATATATATATGTTTCTGTATTGAATTTTATTGTATTTACAAAATAAATTTGAATATTTTCTTCATCCTGATTATTGGAATTTTATCCGTGAAGGGTTGTCAATCTGGAGTTCGTTCTGTATATGCAACAACTGATCTTCTCAATGCAGTAAGTCTATTAAATTTTCATTTGATTTTTTTATTTAATTCATACATATTATTGTATTAAAATGGAATTGCTTAAAATATATGTAGGGATTCAAGCATGTATACAACATGGGAGGTGGATATCTTGCATGGGTAGAGAATGGGCTGCCTGTGGTGCCACCCAAATTGGGCCTCTAATGTAACTCCTATCTCAAATTCTTAACCATTGGATTGGATTGGATGATAAAATGATCAAATATGATTATTAATTCATGAATATATTAAATTTGATCATTGAGATTAGATTTGAAAAAGGTGGTATTCACCGGTGACTGGTGAGTGCTTATCGAGTAAGCATTTAATAAACGATCCAATTTAGCAAAATCCCATAGGCTGATGGTCTCTTACATGAGAACCAGCACAGAGCAAACAACATTTAATATGGGCTATGAGTAACGTTCTGTTAAAAACCACATGTTCATTGTGAATACCTATAACACGTCACGTGTACAAATTAATCACACATGTTAGGATATAATTTTTTGTAACAATCATGATAAATGTTCAGTACATGTGACATGTTTTTTTTAATAATTCCCTGATTAAATAAAAATGAAGTTGGTCCTTATTCTTTACAACTAGAGACGGATCTAGAATTTTTTTCAAACGATGGCGCCATTTGATTATAAGAAAAAAAATATGGAGAAATTTTTTTTAATTAGTGACACCGTTTGACTATAAGAAACAAATATACGGATTTTTTTTAAAATGGTGACACCATTGACTAAGAAAATGACACCAACAGGATTCGAACTTGAGTCTGAAGTGGAATAAAAGTCTTGCAAACCAAATCAACCAGATAAAACTTGTTATCATTATAGTTTCAAAATACATATAGTAACACTCAACAAATTGATACAGTTGCACCTTTTACGAACCTAATTTTTTTTACCCTTAGACGGAGGAATAATACGGTGGCACGTGCCACCGTATGCCCTATAATAGGTCCGTCCATGTTTACAACTAATTTATATTTATCGACCATAAAAATATTAAAATCAACTAACTTATAGATGATCTTATTGAATATATGGACTCTATTGTAATTCGAAATCCAATTACGATATATTGGAAAGCGGTGGTTTGGTGTACTTATTACTCGATTTGGGTTCAACAAAACAATCGGACTTTTAAAGTGGTCGACAATTAACATATTGATCGTTTATTTCAACTATTCTCTCATTCAATTGGGTCTGCAAGCGTGCAAAAGGTTTTGGACTCTCTTGGTCGGATTAGTGTGAGGGGCAATCTTTTGACAATTGACTAGTACTCTTCTTTGATCTTCCGGTCTCGACTAGATTTTTTTTTATTAACCTAGATATCTAACCCGCTATGCGAGCAGACTAATCTTGGAGCAACCACTTGCTTTGCAAGTAGCCTGGAATCACCGCATTTAAACCTCCGTGACCACAAGGGGATTTTTTTCCTCTTTGGATTTAAATCTAAGGTCTCCAAACACTTTCTAAATTTGGTTTTAGAGTACATCGTTTTATTTTTTGTGATGTTTCTTTTAGTCGTGTTTCTAGATGGGCTCAAGATGCTTAGACTCGTTTCTTTTCTTGTCCTTTTAAGAATTCTTTGTAAGTTTTCAGTGTTTTAATAAAACTGTTTTTTGTCTTTAAAACAAAATTAAAATAAAATGCCACGTGATTTTCTATATAATATATATGTTTTTTTTTTTAATATAAACACAAAAACAGAAAACAATTCTTTTATCATAAATAATTTGGCGGGAACGTTGAAGACCGTTACAACATATGCGAAACCCTAATTTTTCTGAACCATCAATTTTTTGCAATCGGAAACCCTAGTAGTTCCATGGAAGAACCCTAGTGCACTTTCCGAATTGATGATAATGTAAACCCTCCTGCACCTCCAACCACCTCATCATCAAACTCTAACCAGTAACCAACCATCGTCACTGATCAACCACTACCGGTTTACCACAACCGCTAGTAGGGAAGACGTAATTGGAGAAACATACGGTGCCCCGTAGATTTGATGCCTGAGAATACTAAGGAAGAGATGGACTGATGAAGCAAACTTCTAGGTCTTATTGGACAATGTTGGCACCAGAAGAAGCTGATTGATGTAAGGGGATTTTCTGGTGTGGAGATGTTACCATGGATAGATTGAAGTGGGGCAAAGAAGTTTTGAAGAAAAAATGAGACCTATTCTGACATAGACATTACCCCTGAAACCTTGAAGAATCAAAAGGTTTGATAAATTAGGTTTTTGTCACTGTTTTAGCTGATTGATCAGTGTTCATGTTTTAGTTGCTTTGTTGGTCAAAGAAATTTTGATGATTCTTTTGCTTAGTGTCTTGTTCATTCACACACAAACACATAAGGGTTACTGTTATTAATGGAACTTTTAGAAAAGCAGAGTGTGTTTCCTTTTGGCGTCTTTTCTTGCTTAAGCTAGATAGTGCATATCAAATCATAGTCTCCAGACCCAAATTCATATCCAGTAGCATTCATAACCCTGGTCTCAAAGATTTCAGGCATGGCAAAATGTAGTGCAGAGAGAATATTAACGCACATCTTGGGGCTGTTTGGTTGGTTTCCTTCAAGTTCTGTATGAATAAAGTTGTCCGTATTGATTAATCTGTCTGTATAGATTGGGAGGGTCTTTTCATGGATGGAAGGAGCAGTGTTTTTTAATTAGGGGAGTCAAGATTGGAAAAAACTTGGCTTTCTGCATAAGCTCCCTCGTAGAAGCTTCCTGACTAAGGGGCTGTTTGGTTGGTTTTCCTCCAAGTACTTTATATGGATAAAGTTGTCTGTGTGAATTAATCTATCTATATAGATTGTGAAGGTTTTTGTTTTGAAAGGGTTTTTAAATAAATGGAATGAGCTTTTTTTTAGTTGGGAGGGGCAGGCTTAAAAAAACTTTGCTTTCTTCGTAAAACTCCCTCCTAAAAGCTTATTGAATATGTCACTTTCTATATTTGTAAGCCACTAACAAAGAGTCATGTATAGCTGACGGAGCTACGAGTCTCATTAAGCTACTAACAAACGAGCCCTAAGTCACCTTCTATATCTTGAAGCCACTACCAAACAGTCATGTATAGCTGACGGAGCTACGAGTCTCATTAAGCTACTAACAAACGAGCCCTAAGTCACCTTCTATATCTTGAAGCCACTACCAAACAGTCATGTATAGCTGACGGAGCTACGAGTCTCATTAAGCTACTAACAAACGAGCCCTAAGTCACCTTCTATATCTTGAAGCCACTACCAAACAGTCATACGAATAAACCGAGTCCCATAGAGATTATTAAGCTACTAACAAACAAACCCTTTTTATGGCTGTGAAGGTTACTATATACCACAAATTAATTGGCCAAGTCAAAAATGGGCAATAGAGCAAGCAGTTCCTTTTAGTCTTTTGGCTCAAGATTTGGCACTTGCTACTTTGGATGTCTTTATCTCTCTGTCTCTCTGTGAGATATATTAGAAACCAAAGAGAAGTCCACAAAATGAAGAATGAAGAGAAATGATACGAACAGTGGCATTTCATGAAATTGCCTCATCTATCAGACCTGGTGATTCAATATTTTTGGAGTCCTACGTTTACTAGACTTGGACCATTTATCCTTTTGGTACCTCTCCAATCTCCTCAATGACTTTTTGGGGAGTAATCTATCGAGGTTTCACATATTCTCACATGGTATCAGAGCCAAAGTCTACTATAGGGGCAATCTGTACACACTCTTAGACAATATGTATGCGTCTAGCCTACATTGGAGGAGGCATGTTGGGGTCCACAATGGCTAGACTTGGACCATTTGTCCTCTGTATATGTTGGAACCTCTTCTCTCATATCAATGACTCTTTTACAGAGTAACCTAAATGGAGTTTCACATATTCTCACAAACACTGTACTTTATCATCATTCTCTGAGCCTCTTATGAAGCATTTTGTGTGATTTCACATGTTTACAAGCAATTGCGAATTCGAAACCTTAACATGTCAATGTTTATACTCGGCCATTTTCTCTATATCTTCTTGGACTTCTTTGATCATTTTTGAGTTTTCTTCCCGCCCTTACGACCAACAAAAACGCTCATAATTCTTAGTTACCAAGTCGATATATGCTAAGTTGATTCGGACGAAGGTAATAGAGCAACTTGATTATCATTCACTAATATGGTATGCAATTATGCATATGCATTTTATATATATATATATATATATATATATATATATATGCAGGTGAAAAGATGAAGACTGGTTAAACAGATGCAGGGAATAAGAGCAAAAAGTCCGAGTGAGTGGTGATGGTATATACGAAGGATGAGTGCAAATCTTGGAGGTGCACATATCTTTCCATTACCTAACTTTGAGTTTTAAGTCAAACTTAGGTGAATATATATATATATATATTTTTTTTTATATAATAAACTTTAATCGTAAATCATTTAGGAGTTAGGTGCATCATAAACCCATTCATCTTTATTTAAATTTTTTATTCAATGTTAAACTTTAATATAAAACTATAAGTTTGGTTCTTATTTTAGTTTTTGAACTAAAAGATAATGCACAACAATATTGTACCACTGGCATACAACTGTCACAACAAGGACTAAGGTTATTATTGTTTAGAATAATCGTGTTAGAAAGAAAGTTATGGCGAGAAATGTAGAAATAGATTGAACCGTTGATCACTTTTAATCTTATGTCCACCCATGAATTGCACTCTAGAAGGGAATGGATTCGGTGCATCTCATTAGTATTGACATTCAATTAGGATTGATTCAATGGTGGCGAACTCTTGTTACGCTTTTCACCATAACTTCTCTTCTCACCGGAACCCAACCCTTATTGTTAATCATGGTATCTGATTTTTGACCAAGAAATCTAATTACATCAAATGAATTTGATATCTATCTCATCCGGATGTGGGTTTATGTATACAGATATAACATCTATCTTAAAGAGTAAAACATTTGTTTTCTGAAGACCCCCAACTTGTGAAAATTGTGCAGAAAAAGAAAGTAACAAAAACAAAATACAAATAGAAGTAGATACAAAACAACCTCAAGGTAAAAAACTGGTCGTTGTTACACAAATCTTCCATCTAAAAAATTGATAGCGACTCCCAATTTGGTTAGGTTTTAATTAGATAATCCTTTAATTATGTTGGCTTCAAGGACTGATTCAATCTATTTTATTCAAAGGTAAAAGAAACTGAAATATAAAATGCAATCT